TTAGCCTCAATATATATATTTTTAATGAATTTCATATCACAGGAAATATCAAGATCTTTTGCTTTGGATCTGTTTTGGAACAGGCAAAAATTGAAAATTTCTGTCAAATTAAAGTTCTAGTTCCCACACGGCTCTGCTTTTATGTTTGGTTTTGTTCCTCCTCCCTTCATCTGTTTTTGTCTTTTTTAGGCTCTGATCTTTCAATAGCTTATACACATGATAAACTTTATGCATTAAATATTCTACTGACTCATCATATGTAAAGTTAAGCACATGCATTAAGTTTCTGTAAGAATATATTCTTTGATTATAAACTTTTAAAGGTAAGACTTGTTTCTTTTTATATGTTTTAATAGTTTCCAGTTCCAGGTGTCAGCAGTTGGCTGCTGATACTAGTTCCTGATTACTGTTCAGGGAAACACTAATACTACTATTGATAATATTAGTATTATTAAGCAGCCATTTAATCATTTTATAGCCTAGTAGTTTAATCCATATTTAGTATCATCATCATGTCATCATCATCGCTGTCTTCTCTTTTGTTCTCCTCGTTATCATCTTCAGAGGGTTTGCCTTTAAAAAGTCTATGCCAGTCCCCTCTCTTCCATGTGCAGCCTGACATCTCATTCCCACCGTCCTCTTCTGTCTTTCTGAAGTACCAATACATTTCACTCTGCCCTATTTTAATACAGTCCTCAAATTTGGGGTCCAAGTGCCTGTTTGTGAGTAGGTTCCTCAGGGCATACCTGAAACAGGAGATAAACTGGTCAAAATGGGTTGTCAGGCCCCTTGTAATTTGGTCAGGTGCCCACAGAGGACCACTACTCTGATCAGGGTTCTGAAACCTGTCATCATCAGGAGGAGTGCATGTACTTTCTTCTACACCTCTCTGGTGTATGGGTGTTCCCAGAAGAGGTGGTCAATTGTTTCTGCCTGCCAGCAGTGTGTCTGTCTCAGGCAGTTTGGTGGGCCTCTCTGCCCTGCACTGTTTTTCCATGCCTGTATGGGGAGTGCCTGGTGGGCTGCCTGTCAGTTCAGGTCTCTATGCTCCTGCTGTAGGTCCTTGTGGAAGATTCGCTTCCACGTGGCCTGGCAGCTGTCACCAGGTAGTAAGTCCACAGGGGGTATGGTATCTCTTGCTCTTACCACCTCCCATATCTTGTGGTGGTTCACCAGGGCTGCATTATGCAACTTGCATTTCTCCTGGAAGCATTTCAGGACCTCATAGAACCATGGGGACATCGTGGCCCATGGGCTTTCATTTTTCATTGTTTCCCCCTGCCACTGTCTCAGCAGCTGCCCTGCAAAATACTTGACAAAGCTGGCTGTTTTGGATTTAGTCCCTGTCACCAGTTGGCAACCTTGGCTCATGTACATGGTCCAGAGTAGGACACCTGGATTCCTCTGCCTCCAGGCCATTTCACTTTGTATAGCTTGTATAGCTTTCCTTGCCACTTTCTCCCATGTGGAGTTCCAAAAGAAAATACACATGGCTCTTTGGTTTCAGTGAATGACTTGCTTTGAGGGTGGGAAGACTAAGGCAATGTTTTAAAGTATTGGTAGTAGCACCACCTTCATCAGTGCCACATGCACCCCCCATTGACAGGTAGCATGATTGTCATAGCCCGTCTCTGTCTTTGGCCTCCATCTTTTCCTATGCCTTCTCTCCCACCAGCTCTGTGAGTCAAAATCCAACCTGAGGATCTTTACCCTTATGGGGGATGGAGAACCCCAGAGGTGATAGGTCCTCGAGCTTACTCAGGTGCTTTTTCTCATATTGAGCTTGGCCCCTGCTGCTGCTCTGTATACCTAGGTGTGTTGTAGCACTCTTTCAACCAAAACATTGTCCCTGCATATACCAAACCCTTGTCCCTGCATATAATGTTAAGGTCATCCATATAAGTGAAGACTTTCGCCTCTTTCCCGTTGCTTCCAGGGATTTTTATGGTGCTGACCCCCGGGGTCCTGTCTGAGCCACTGTGCTAGTGGTTCCATTGCGCAAATAGGCAGAATTGGGTAGAGCGAGCAGCTGTGCCTGACGCCCGACTCCACCACAGTCAGAGCTGTCAGGAACCCATTCACCAGTACCCTGTTGCTCATGTTGGTGTTATAGTGCCTTTATGCAGGTGCAAAAGATTGCAGGGATTCCCATCTTTTTCAGTGTCTCCAGTAGGAAGCGATAGGATAGCAGATCATAGGCCTTCTCCAACTCAAGATTTAGCATGGCAACATTCTGACCCCTCTTCCATTAATACTGTAGCACATCTTGCAGCGGCATCAGGGCTACACAAGGATAGGTCAGTGTAGTCTATCTAAATAAGATATATGGTAGTGCGTATTGTGCAGTATGTGCCCTCAAGTCATGGTGAGCTACTACGTTGAATACCTTTAGACTTCCACTTCACTCCCAAAGCTAAACTGTGCCTTTCTTTCCATTTTCAATTATTCCTGTTTCTTCACTAGCCTTAAATGTGTGGCAAACATCACCACTAAAAGGAGCCTCAAAAAGTTCATCCAGAATCCCTCTGTTGGCCCCTCTCTCAGCTTGCCACATATGATTAGTGTGGCTTTATGTTCCATGAGGTAGAGCTGGACCAGGTTGCCCTGCACCTTATCTGCATATACATTGTTGGAGGATTCCAGGACTCGTGAGAAGAACATCCAGTTCTAGTCATGAGTGGGGCTAATTAGGACATGGATCCTTTGGGGGGGGGCGTATCTGTAGTACACACACACACTGAGCATTGCTGAGCTACGGGGTTGCTGTGACTTGAAATGCTGCTGATTTCTGCTGGGGCCCAGCCTGGCCCGGCCCGGCCCAGCCCAATATGTTATGGTAAATAATGAGCCTTTTGGTTTTTGAACTAAAATTGTGCATGGTTTATATTATGCATAAGTAGTATGTATAATAGTATAAGTATAAAAAGTGCTGCTCACAAGCATGTTTATGGAGTACCTGTGCTAAAACTTGCAGAAGTTAAAAAAAAAAAAAAAAAAAAAGGAAAAATGTATCAATTCTGAATGGGCTAAGTCTGTGAGTACATATAGTAATCTGCGTATATGCAAATGATTACAGGCATGCTCAATTTAAAATTAGTGGGAACGTCCAAATGAGCACACATGTGGTTTGCAGTGCCTCAGTGCTATAAATCACACATGCCACACATGTAGGCATTTGCTGCACTGCTGATTTGCAGCACAGTGCTTTTTTTTTACACCAGGAGTTCCCAGTGTCAAAAAAAAACACACCAGAAAACAGCGGGGTGGTGCATGTGGCAGTAGTGTGCGGCACTCTAAACGGGAGCCTGTCCAGCCAAAGCCACACTCCTGGCTGCTGGCCAGGCTCTGTGCAGCTGGATTGCCCCTGCTGGAGCCCTGGGAAGCCCCCAGGATTCCAGGTAAAGCTGCTGGGGTCAACCCAGGTGTTGGCTTCAGCCTCTCCTACCCCACCTGGAGCATTTTCCCCATGCTAACCCCACATGCAAGGGCATGCTCTTGGGCAAAAAGCAGCGGCACAAATTTGTGCTGCTATTTTTTTCCCAATGGCGACCTTATGCCCCCGCTTGTGGGGATGCAGCTAGTGTTTTAAAATTTGCCCCTCGCTTCTATGTGCTCAGGGAGAGCAAGCTCTGACTATAAGGAGAGGAGAAAGGGCTGTGGGGGGAAGTTGCGGCAGGGCAGAGGGCAAGGGGGAAACCCAAATTGATCCCCAAAATTTATTTTCCCTGCTGTAGCATTGGGAGAGGAACAAATTCAAGGCAATCCTCCAATAAGTACATTCTGTACCTAGAAAATTAGAACAAATTTATGAGTTTTCCATATATAGTATCTAATTTTGGGGGATTGTCTTATATTCAGGGACATCTTGTATTTGTATAAAATACAAAAAACAAGGTTTGACCAATTGTACAAGTATAAAATTAAATGCAAAATAATTTACCAAATTTACTACTATTGTTATAGGGCTCCTTGATAGGCTGACTTTATCCACAAGAGGTGGTATAGTTTTGGTGACAGTTAATCTACAGAATGGGAGACTTAAGATTTTTTTTGTGTCCATTTAGCGGTGTATGGACTATGTTACATTATAGAGAATGGGCCTACAGAGAACCACCCTTTTTCCTGTGTCATTGTATGTAGTGAAAACATACCGCTATTGTTGTCCCCTGGGATGCAAATCAGTAGACAGCTGTTGATAGCAGTGAGTGATAAATGTTACACGGGACTTGGTATTCTTGTTTAACTATAGTGTGACTGTGAAAGTAACCAGAGAAGAAGACTAATTTCTGAGTGAAATACAAAGGTGGCAAACAATTTACAGTGACAAAGGATTATGACTAGGATCAAATTATTGAAAATGGGTTTGACTAAATTAGGTTAAAAGATTAAGTGGCTTATGATAAATGTTGGAAAGGAGCAGGGTATGGGGCTAAAAATAATTATAGAAACATAAATACAAAATCCAGCAGGGACTTTGAATTAAACCCTGTATTGATATGCACTTAATCAAAAACTTTTTTGCAGTGGTTCATTGAAACAAATAACTAGGCATAGGGCTTATATATTACATGTAGCATAGATACAAATTATAATGCATTACTCTTTTACTATTGAAGAGGTACAACAAATGGGCAACCAGAATGATTTGTGTTCATAAGAGAATTAATATTTATAAAGTAGAAAAGGTAAGCTAGGATTGGACTTTTTCTTTATTTGATGTATGTACCAGTATCTTAGAAAAATGTTCAAGAGATGCAGATGAGATACAGATTTAATAGTATAGCCTAAGGTTTAATTGATAGACTTACAGTTTTTTTCAGCCTGTGTTCCAGTTTTTACTCTGTCCAGACATTGATGTGCTTATTAGGTAAAGGTGGTTTCAATATTAATGTCTTTAAAAAAACAACCCCCCCCCCCCACCCCGAGATGATCACTTCTTTAGGCTTTCATAAACAAAAAGGTATTTCAGCTTTCTGTAACTGCCTGTTTCCTCTTTGCAGCCCGAAAGTCCAAAAAGTTGGGGAAGTTGAAAGGGATGCACGAAGAACAGTCACAACCTCAACCGCAGCAGCAGCAGCAGCAACCACCACCCCAAAGCCCAGAGGAAGGGACTACATACATTGCTCCTGTAACAGAGCCATCTGTAAACACAGCACTTGTTCCCCACGTATCTATTTCACCAGCACTTACTCCAGCTCCTGTTAAGATTCTTGAAAGCATTGAACCTGAAATTGTGTATGCAGGATATGACAGCTCAAAACCAGACACAGCAGAGTACCTGCTTTCCACTTTAAACCGCCTTGCTGGCAAGCAGATGATTCAGGTGGTAAAGTGGGCAAAGATACTTCCAGGTAGGAATGTAATTTACTTTATGTATTTTTAAATAGGCTTTGTGGCTTAATATGCCATTTGTCTGACTGGGATTTAGTCTGTAGCCTACTGCACACATTTAAAAAATATTTATGGGTTTCTCTCGATGGAAAAGGTGATAAATATTTGTATTTTATTGTCAGTGCAACTGTGTCTGGTGCTAGTGATAAAAAATTACAACTGAACTCTGTTCGTTATTGGTAATAACTACCTAAGTAAAGTACATTTTGTTCAGAATTGTACTATTCTAAACTGCACATGGTAAGCATAGGCTTAACTGTTAGTGTTGTTTCCCTGAGCATAGGGTAAATAATCTCTTAGGGCAGTGATTCTCAAAGGGTATGCCACAGCAAACTGGTGTTCTGTGAGAGCATTGGAAGTGTGTTGCAAAACATGATACTGTATCATATGGCCCACAGAGCCATGTTGTCCAGCCCATGGGGCTCCCCATGGGTCCATAAATTCAGTGGTCCCTTGCCTTCAGTGGTCCCTTCAGTGGTCCACTGCTCCCTTGCCATCAAATTTCTAAGCCATGCACAACTGGATTGGGTCCCAGCCAGGTTGGCCCCTCACAGCTGCATCAGGCCCCAGCTAAGCTAGTACCACATGCAGGATTGAGCCCAAAGACCAGATCTCGCCTGCAGACTGACCTGACACTGTTAATCTGGACCCCAGGCCCAAAATATATGAACCACTGTTTAAGTCCTTATATAATAGTCCTACATATATAGCCTTGTGGACTGGATGTCTAGATCTAGATCTTTCTTTTAGGATGTAAAAAGTGTGCTGCCAATTTTAATCCAGAAAAAAGTGTGCCCCAGGTATCAAAAGTTTGGGAAACACTGTGTTAGGGAAGTGTTGAGCTCTTTCTGTAATTCCATTGGGTGCTCTGGAGTAGATTACACTTAAATGTTGAATTTAGTTTGTTCTGTTCTTCAGGATTTAGAAACTTGCCTCTTGAGGACCAAATTACTCTAATCCAATATTCATGGATGTGTCTATCATCATTTGCCTTGAGCTGGAGATCCTATAAACATACAAACAGCCAATTCCTGTACTTTGCACCTGACCTGATCTTTGATGAGTAAGTATATGTTTGTTGTCCTTTACAAAGCAAGCTGGAGAGTTTTACGAGATTTTAAAACATAAATATGTAGAGTAAAAATCCTGATAATGCAATTTGAAAATGTATGTATAGAAGTTGAGCAAGCGAAGGACTGTCAGCAGGGACATTGTACTTCTTTCCTTTTCTTTACGGATGCAAATGGAGATGAGAGTTCCCTAAAGGAGACACTCTGATAGCCTTTGAAATATGATTGATATGAAGCCAACATTAATACATAAGGGTATTTTTTTGGTATGTATCATAGCTTGAAAGACTATCTAATTTCTAGGAAATGTGAATATTTAAATTGCAAGCTTTTGTAAACAGATTTGTATAATGGTTCTTTTGTTAACAGTATACAGCTGCTCAATCTGTTTTCATGACAATCATAATTACCCTTCTTTGCAACCATCTTTGCAAGCCAAAATGTTTTTCTATTATAAAATGTAACTTGTTTTATGATGCATTAAGAAAGACTGGAGGAACCGTTCCTTCCAATCATGTGCATTCCTTCCTATTTTAAGATCATGTGTTAGTGCTGTGTCTTTGGTGAATTTAATTTAATTTGTATTTCCTTTCCCTAGCATTTATTCAGAAGTGGTAGAGTCAGGAAATAAAAATAAAAATACAGCAAGCAAATTGGAGTAGCATTGCTTGCTCATCCCAGAAGATAACTCTTTCTAAAAGTATGAATGTGAAATAGGAGGGAGGGACTAGAGAAAAAAAATAGTGGGAAAAGAATGGACCACAAAAGCAAAAGGAAAGACTCTTGCTGAGGACTCAGTTTTACTAAAACATTCTGAATTATTTCTCTTGAAAAAAAATGCTGAAATAAGTTATTGGTGCATTTTTTCTGTGTGCTGCTGTGCAGCTAGGCAATCTTTCTTTCTTTACTTAATAGTGATTGCATGGCTTTTGAATACTTGGTCTAAACCAAGGCCCATATTAATGTCGGTAGGAGATTTTCCATTGATTTTAGTAGTTTCTGAATCTGACTCTGTAGCAATACATTTTAACAAAAGAGGTTAGACTAAGAGGACAGGTAGCTGTGATTCACTAAAGTAGTTGAAATTTTATTTTTAGACTCTTTTCTTGTTGAAATCAGTTAAAAAATTACTTAGGGCAGGGGTTGGAAACCTATGGCCATGAAAAGATTGGATCCATCCTGGGGCAGTTCAGGGAATGGCAACATGGCAGCAGAGGAGGTATCCCCAGGGTCTTAGTGCCTGCCTATTTCTATCTACTTCTTTCACACCACTATTGGTGAACAACCATCATATGGTTTCAGGGGTGGGGGTAGGGGCTTGGTTGCAAGCAATATCCCATGGTGGCAAAAGGTTACCATTCCCTGATTTAGGGTATCAGAGAGGGGTCACAGAGGAAAAATTCTCTTACTAAACCTAATTGAAAAAGCAAACTTCATAAAAAATGTATATTTAATGATATACTCAGTCATTATATCAGGGGAGTGAAAAGCTTGCTGGCTAAGTTCGCGGATGACACCAAATTATGGGGCAGGGTGGTCACAGCAGAAGATAGGTTGCAGATACAGGCAGACCTGGACAGGCTAGAGAGTTGGGCAAACCAGAACCAGGTTAAGTTTAACACTTCCAAGTGTAAGGTGCTTCATCTGGAGGCAAACAACCCTCAACATACATACAGGCTCGGGGGTGACAGCCTGACTTGCACCACGGCCAAAAGGGACCTAGGAGTAATGATTGACCATCGCATGAATATGAGCTGTCAGTGTGATGCGCTGGCCAGCAGGGCAGATAACACGCTGGCACGCATCAACTGATACATCTCGTGTAAAACTAAGGAAGTGATACTCCCACTGTACTCAGCACTGGTGAGACCGCAGTTGGAGTATCATGTCCAGTTCCAGGCGCCGCACTTCTATAAGGATGTGGAAAAACTTGAGAGGGTCCAGAAAAGAGCCACACGTATGATCAGGGACTTTCAAGGCAAGCCATACGAGGAAAGGCTGAGGGACCTGAGCCTCTTTAACCTAAAGAAGAAAAGGTTGAGAGGGGCGTTGATAGCAGCTTACCACTATATCAGAGGAATGCATCGGGAGCTTGGTGAACAACTGTTCACTAGGGCACCCCTGGGGAAGACCAGGACCAATAGATACAAACTCCTGGAAGGCCACTTCAGGCTTAATACCAGGAAAAACTCCTTCACAGTCAGGGTGACCAGACTGTGGAATAAACTCCCTCCAGAGGTGGTGCAGTCTCCTACCTTGGTGGTTTTCAAGAGGAAACTAGACAGTCGCCTAACTGGGTCATTTGACCCCAGTTGTCTTCCTGCCTAGAGCAGGGGGGCTGGACCCGATGAACTATGAGGTCCCTTCCAGTCCCTAACAATCTATGAATCTATGAATTACAGGGCTATAAAAATCAGCAGCCACCAGGGATTTTGAGAGGTTAGAAAATGGTAAAGAAATTGAATTTTTGGAATAGTGGATACATTGAGAATTACTTTTTCTTTAGGATATGTTGAATGATAAATAGATTTGGGTGCACAGACAATGGTAAGATCATGGGGATAGGAGCTTTTATATTAGGGGCAACCTCCTGAAAAATTAAGGATAGGCTTCTGTCTCCAAAATGGAAAGAGTTCTGTAACCTTGGTCATATTTAATACTGGAGAAGAATGATGGGGAGTCTTAATTACAAGGCTTATAAAATGCATTTCTTTATCAAGTATAAGTTAGAAATTAAACACACAAGCATTATTGGAAATTAATGGAAACCCATAACATTAAATGAAAATGTATATTGAATAAGTATATAGAAATTCTAGCATTAAAAAAAACCTAACTAAAAAACATTGGGCGCGTCTACACGAGACACTACATCACTGTAGCAATGAGCTACGATGACGTAGTATTGGCAGACACTAACCATGACACTGCCACTACTGTGCAGTAGCTTGTTGCTGCTGTGTAGCAGGGTTGAAAATGACCCACACACTGCCAGGACTGCGCAGTACCAAATGCGCAGTGGGACACATAGGTAGATACGCCCACTGTGTCATGCTCCATTAGAAATTATTTCCAGTGTAATCTGGAAATCCTGCCTGTGAAGGCTTTCTCAACTTGGGGGTGTGTATGTGGGAGGGGGCGGGAGGGGGGGCACAAAACACTGAAATCCAGCAAAATACACAGGACATGAGCATCTCTAGGACTGCTTTTTCCATCAAAGAATTAAAAATAGACTTGTGATTTTGTAATGCAAGTTGAAAATTTCCTCCTATTTTCCATTTGTCCTGTAATCTTTGTTTATGGACCTCAGAAACGTGGTTGTATTATTTAAAGCAGATTCTCTTTATTTTTCTGTGGTGGCATTTAGTTCTGTTTCTTCACTTTATGCATGTGTTACTTCAATGTTTGTGGAACCGTATCATGTTTCTCTGTTACTTTTATGCACATTCGCATACCATAAAATCTCTAAAAGAAAAATCCAGATGGTATGAAGTAACGTCATCCAGTGAAAATTCTGCAGATTATCTCTTATCTATTGCTGAAGTTTCTTTTCATAGTAGTATGTAACTTTGGATTCTACTGCATATAATAAACAGAAATCTGAATTGCTTCACCAAACCAGGTGTAAGGGGATCACAGCTATTGATGCATCATTTAAGATAGTGCAGCATGCACTGCCCTTTGCATTTGGCTAGGTCTGTTATCTGAGGCTGGATGACAAACCAGTGCCACTAGTAACTGTAGCTCAACAGTGCTTGTCCTGTACCCGAAGAGGCTGTTCTCTGCCCCTGCATGAGTAGTAGAAAGGTGTCAGAAGCTGGAATGCTGGCCTGCCTGTAGTGCTTATATAGCGATAATAAACATTTTCATTTGATGAACAATGGATACAAAATAATTATATTAATATAATTGAATAAAAAGAAGCTAGCATCATGTTTAGAACTATAGCAAATGTACAAGTTGGAAAAAAGTTATAGGTGTATATGCAGTGCTTTTTTTGTTTTATACAAGGTAAAATAAAGTAATAAGTTTGTCATTTTTTATTATTCTCACAAACATTTCTCTCTCATTCTTTTCCTAAGTGCTGCGAGTAAAAGGAAATTCTGCATTTGAAGTTATTGAACAGGGTATATAATATCATGGTTATATTCTGTGAGGCTTTTCTTATTATTCTGAAGGCTTGCAAATAAGACAACCAATCAGTGACAGTCTCTGTAATTACAAACTGTTAAGTACATCTTTTGATCATCAAAAAATCTGGTATGTTAATAGTGTCAAATCCACTCTTGGGTTGAGTTCCATGTTGGGGTTACACAGGACTCAGTGTACCTACCCAACTTCCACTTGCATCTAGTGTCCATAGGCATAAGTGCACTATTTGTCTTCATAAATCATGCATATATTTCCACTGCTTTAATTGTGCCAAGTGAACAAAATGCAAGTTGAATAAAATGAAAAGTGCCATTCTACTATATCTCTTCAAGTAACACTGTCTGTCTGGCTCTCTCTCTCGCTTTCTCTCTTTCCCCATATATTGTTTGAACATGTATTTTACACAATGCAGTGTTTGTCATGAAAAATGAGTTATACCACTGAAAGACGTCCTGTGGAAAAATAGAATATAATTGTATAATTAAAAACGTACTATAAAGCATAATCATAGGCATGCATTCATTTTGCATTTCCTAATTTTTCTGTGTGCAACTTTGCAAACTTAATATTCTTAAAAATATATATATTTTTTATTCAGTTTCCTAATGTTAAGTGGCAGTATGCATAGAAATTCAGTCATGTGACATCAGTGGGGTTGGTCTCTTGTTGGGGACCACTTCTGGTACATGCTTCTGCTAGCTCAGCTAATGGAGTAGCTGATAGCAGTAGTATGCTGCAACCCTCCATGAAATAGGCAGGGATAAGATACTTTGTCAGGCTTTATAAACATTTGCAGAAGAGTGGTAAGAACCAGGAATTTTGGATTCCATTCTGGTCTCTG